AAGACAGGGAAGCAGGGAGAGATATAATGTCCTGATAAAAGTCTCAGCAAACGGCAGGTTAAACAAATTCTCTGATGTTCAACAGCATAGCTTTGGTCACGTGGAAAATTCACATAAGTGAGCTCATCTCCAACAATATCAGATAAATTAGGTGTCCCTGCATTTAAATTCCTAGAAATGTGCAGCTACAAAAAGTCCTGAAATAAACTTCTGGGTCCTATATCTGGCATAATAAACCATACGGTAATTGGAAAGGTCTTTTCCTTCTGGCATAACTAAGGTCAGGACTGGCACTATAATGGACCTAGAAAAACAAACCTTCACATTCCAAGATTTTGACAACTTTAGGTGAGCACTATAACAGCTGCTAAAAGCAGTGAGTCAAAGTTTCCAAAGCCCTTCTCTCTCCTGCACTTGAAAAGACATGTAAATGTGCTTGGAATGAGGAAAAGAGTGGAAAGTTTAGCAGGTTCCTAGGTGTTCTGAAAGAAGATCATTAAAATTTATGACTGTCATAATTTTCACAATATTATTTCTCACACCACTAAAAGGGATGAAATTCTAGTCATAAGAAAGAGTATAAGACAACTTTCAAAATCCATTTGAAATGTTTTCATAAGAACTTCAGGAGTATTGGTAGAAGAGGAGGCTATTTTTACTCAAAGAAACAGAGATTCTTCCACAGGGTAAATGAGGCTAGTCCTGCCTTTGTATCATGTGGAATTAGTGACAGTTACTTCTGTTGATATCAGGCAGTACATCCCAATTTCAAGATCAAATAAAGCCCACTGGAAGACAGTAGGCCAAAGATACAGAGATGATCCTTCCTGAAAATTAAAACCACCACAAACACTGCACACAATTTAGATATCTTTGGAAATTGTAGAACTTTCAATCTGCTTCCAGAATGCATTTATTGCCACCAAGAATTACTCATGTACATTTGTGATGCTACATGAAAAGAAGAAACTTAGTCACCATTTAGAATGTTCATGGAGTCTCAAGAGTGTCAAACTCGTCATTGAGAGAATATGCCTTCGTAGGGCCCAGAAGGGACAGAATCTAGGGATCTACCTTTTTCTCTGGGAGGATGGGGCCACAGTAATGGTCTGGAAAGGAGAGCTTTGACTGGAATGAGCAATACTCCAAAGAGCTTCATTTACTTAACCACAAAGCATGAAGTGAAAGGACAACCCATTTAAATACCCCCATAGGTTCTAGCTAAGATTAAGGCCAGTCGGAATGATTAAAACTCTAGGCAGCTAGTTCAGCAAATTAGGAAGTAGATTCATACAGACCAGTTATTAGTGGTTCAAATATTGACAAATTATACTTCTCAATTTCCAGAAAGAAAGAAAAAGGGATACAGTAACATTTATTGGATGCTTGTCATGTTCTAGGTACCAGGCAAGGTGTTCTTCTCCAGATAACTATGGGAGGTGATTGTTATTATTTCCATATTAAAGAAAAAGAAATTCAAATTCAGGAAAGACAGTAAACTGCCCAAAGTCACACACAGTTGGTCAATGACCAAGGCCAGTAGTAAATTTCATTAATCTTTCTCCTACTCAAACTTTAACTTTCCCCTAGAGTCATATACTTGTTTTTCCATCCTGTATCATCAAAACAGGGTCCCTACTTTGTTCTAAAGTTGGCCTGTGCTTTTGTCTCCAGTGGCCGGCCTTCCTGCAGGCCTGTGCTTGCTGAATGCTGCTTCTTCACCCCATTCAACAAACCACTTTCCTCCCACCCACACTATCTGACCTTAACACATACATAAACACTCCACTTCCACATCCTAAAATCCTTTCCTTAATTCTTCTCCTTCTAAGTATTGCCTTATTTTGGTTTATTTTCACTTCCATGTTTCATGAAAAGAGTATTTTTACACCCTTTTTCTACTTTACATCTCCTATCATCCTGTAACTGGTAACGTTCCAGTTTATGACCTATTAATTCATGGAAACTGTTCTGGGAAATGTCATATAAAACTTCATGGTCTTCAAATCTAATAGACACTTCTCAGGCCTCATCCTTGGCTCCTTCGGGCACCTGGCCCTGTGAACCAGTCCTTCCTCCTTGAAACCTGGCTTCCCCGAAAAGACGTTCCCAATTCTCTTCCGAAATCCACTGACTCTCTCACTTGCATCCTCAACCCCTTCGTGAATGTTGGAGCTGCTGAGGTCACCATCCTTTATTTTCTCCTGTTTTCCACTGACCTGTCCTCCTGAGCTCCTCTAATCTACGCTGTGGGCTTCAGCTGCCACCAGCAAACCTGTGTTCCTCACTGCTAACCTCTCCTGAGTGCCAAGGTTGTTTTTCCAGCTGCCTTTGGGTATCTCTAGTTGGATGGTCCAAAGATTCAATAAGACATGTCCCAAATCAGTCTCCTTTAACCCCCTCCCCACTTCAGTCTAACATTTTCCCTTTCTTGGTAAATGGCATTACCATCTGCCAGGCAGTCCATGTGGTGAGGCCTTCAGAATCTGCCTTCACTCATCCCCGCCTAGACTCAAAGTTCTAAAATCTATGTAGATCCAACACAGTCTTTGTTTGCTTGTTTTTCCCATTTATTTTTATTAGTTGGAGGCTAATTACTTTCCAAAACTGTAGTGGTTTTTGCCGTACATTGACATGAATCAGCCATGGATTTACATGTGTTCCCCATCCCGATCCCCCTCCCGGCTCCCTCCCCATCCCATCCCTCTGGGTCTTCCCAGTGCACCAGCCCTGAGCACTTCTCTCATGCATCCAACCTGGGCTGGTGATCTGTTTCACCCTTGATAGTATACTTGTTTCAATGCTGTTCTCTCAGAACATCCCACCCTCGCCTTCTCCCACAGAGTCCCAAAGTCTGTTCTGTACATCTGTGTCTCTTTTTCTGTTTTGCATATAGGGTTATTGTTACCATCTTTTTAAATTCCATATATATGCGATAGTATACTGTATTGGTCTTTATCTTTTTGGCTTACTTCACTCTGTAAAATGGGCTCCAGTTTCATCTATCTCATTAGAACTGATTCAAATGAATTCTTTTTAATGGCTGAGTAATATTCCATGGTGTATATGTACCACAGCTTCCTTATCCATTCATCTGCTGATGGGCAACTAGGTTGCTTCCATGTCCTGGCTATTATAAACAGTCTTTGAAGTAACTTCCCTTTCTCCATCACCACTGCATGCTAAGTCGCTTCAGTCATGTCCAACTCTTTGCGATCCTACGGACGGTAGTCCACCAGGCTCCTCTGTCCATGGGATTCTCCAGGAAAGAATACTGGAGTGGGTTGCCATGCCTTCCTCCAGGGGATCTTCCTGACCCAGGCATCAAGCCCACTTCTCTTACATCTGCATTCACGGGCAGGTGCTGGTAAAGAACCTAGCGCCACCTGGGAAGCCCTACAGTCCATCCCTTTATCATGTCACCTGAGTTAATGCAACAGCCTCCCAGACGGTTTCTGTAACTCCAGTCCCTCATATTCTAACACATTCTTCATGTGGCCACCAAACTGAACTTTGTAAAGCAAGTTCTACGCTTCTCTTTGTAAATTTTCAGTGGTTCCACATGGAGTACAAAGTGAGGCTTCAGGACCCAACCAACCAACTCGGGCCTGTTTTTCCAACCTGAGAACTTCACTTGCCTGTGTTAATTTGTCCTAAACTGCTTTATGCTTCTGTGGTTCAGCTCATGCTACTTCTTTACTTACAATGTCCTCGTTCCTTTGGACCATCTGGTAAAATCCTATTCATCATTCTTCAAGGCTTCCCTTCACACCTGTTGTATTCACCTTTCCCTAAACTCCCCACCCCCACACCTTGAAGGAAGAATCATTCCCACATCTGTGTTCCCAATACATCTCATTACAGGACTAACCACAGAGCTTTCAGGCACTTGCTGACTCACTGCCCCACCATGAATTTTCAAAGGTAGAGACTATACTATTCATCTTTGTAGTACCAAGGTCTATTTCAGTGCTTGGATCATAGCTCAGTAAATCTCTGTTGAATGAACAAATTAATAGACCTTTTCCTGTTTGCAGTATTCAGTAAGTCTGTAGCTTCATTGTGATACCAATATATAAAAACAAAAGTTATATGTCAGAGAACACAAAGCAACTTTTAGTGACACATGAAGAGTTTGGATTTCTAAATAAATAGCCTTTTTATTATTTATTTTAAATATTTATTTTAAATAAATATTATTTAATATTTAATTAAATATTATTTAACATTTAATTATTTAATAAATAATATTTATTATTTTAAAAAAATAAATAATTTTTAAATAAATTTCAAATAGTTTTAAATTCTGATAGATGCTATTGGTGTGAACAACATATAGCTTATAATAGGATAAATATAGCTGAGGTTTTGTCAACATCATGACTATTTTCCTTAAAAAAAATACTCATTTATTAAGCTGCATTATCTATTTTTAATTTGTTCATTCATTCATTCATTCTTCTGTTCACATCATACCTCTTTCGAAAAGAATTTAAACTTAAAATTTTTAGTTTATTTCATTTATCAACATGTTCTACCTGTCCATGAATCTCTGGACTTCCTATCTAATGCAATTAGTGCCTACTGAAGGGAAAAAAATTATCTAAGACCATTAAACTGGCTAATTTGATTTCTGTATTATTTCTTGAAACTGGAGATTTCTTTTCAATATTCATTGAATCAATCTCCTAACTCGAATTTTTTAAATCCAAAAAGCTAACATAGCATTTTGTGCTCCAATACTTTCTAAGAATTAGCAGACACCACATGACATCATGAAAATAAATTCTCTATCAGTGTGTTTCATACTGTTAATATTCATCCTCCTATTTTGGAATGTCATTATCTTCTTGTCAAAATGAATCCCCATGGAAATAAGCCATTTTAAGAGACAGGAAGTGCCACAGAAACCTGTGCTAACACTACAGATGTACCCAAAGTTTTCCCTTACTGTCCTTTATGAGGACAGAACATCCCCTGCAAGCAGCAGGGGGACTCACCTGGCGAGTTCTGGGGAGAGGACACAGGGGAGCCACGTGGGGACTGACAGTAGCTGGGATGGAGTAAGGCATGTGGAGGCACATATGACATTATCTCTTCTTCAAATAAACTGGGGAAAGACGAGAAGCAAAATGCACACGTTAGCCAAAGATATAAACGCTTTGTTTCCACAATGACTAAGCTGATCTCTCCCTTTGGCTCACTCCGAGGTCCAGTTCACATCCGGAAGAAAGCATCTGTCTCCTTTCTCCTGTGGGTAATCCTTGGGACAAAATGCTGGCTGTTTGCAGCTTTTGTGAAACCTGTGGTTATTTACCCATTTTCCCACCAACTTTGGACAACATAATTTCTACTGTGTCACTTAAATAAGTGAGTTTGAGTTTGCGTGTTCATTTGAAAATAGACTGGATTTTTGATTTTTACATTTGAGAATAAGATTCAAACACAAGAGACAATGTTTATTGAGGACCCATAATAAATACACAAAGTATGTTCTATATCTTTATTCCAAGACAAATAGAACAGGATCTTGGCCTTCAAAGAACTCAGGATTTCATTGAAGAATTAAAAGCAAAATATAACAAAACACCTTGTAAATAATTACAACTGCTAATTAGCTTTCTTATTTACTCTGACTTTATATTTTTCACGTGAGGATTTTGATCTTATTCAATTTAGTGTCTTCTTTCTGCTCCATAGTGCAGCTTTTATTTCTAATACTCTCCTAAAAGATAGTAATCAGGGATCTGAGATCTTAAAATCCTGACTTTTAATTAACTGCTATAATAAAGAAATGTACAGTTGATTGTCAAATATACAAACACTTGACAAAATAGAATCAACAACCTAAGTAAGAGGACTTGTGCTTTTTAATTAAGAGGTAGAAGTGGCTTTTCTTTAAAGTTAGTCAAATCTAGAAATCTGTTAAATTTGTTTTCAGAAAACACTGGGAAAAGGAGGCAGCAGTTTAGTCTTCAGAGATTTAAGGAAAGAACTCCTAAGGATTATAGAAATGGCTTTCAACTGAGGTGATTCTGCCCTTCCATGCACTCTCTGAGGACACTGCATGATGTCTGAGGACATTTTTGGTTGTGGTAACTGAGAAGGGAGTGCTCTTGGCATCTAGTGAGTGGGGTCAGAATGCTGATAAACATCTTACAATGCACAGAAGAGTGCCCTGCAACAAAGAGATATCCAGCCCAAAGTGTCAGTACTTTCAAGGCTGAAACTCTGAGCTATATTAATAGCAATACAATAACAACTTGATAGCGCTTTTCTGGTCTTCATTCATCTGCACACGTCTGCTAAACCACTATAAACCACTAGAATGAAAGCATTTTTAGATACCATATTGTTAAGCCATCTATCCACTTTTAAACTATAAAAGTCAAAAGATTTAGAAACAGAAGCAATAAGTAACTGTATTTGCAATACCAAATTAGGCCCCAAAACAATCAATTCTCTTTCTCAATAAATCAGTAACCATTAGAAAAATGTGAATTTTAAGTTGATTGCTAAGGAAAAATGCCACATAAAACAGTTGATACCACAAAGGTTTATAAACTCATAGCAAAATTAAGAGTAGCAATTAGCACCCTCTCCTTGAACATCTATATCTGTGTCCTTTTGCTCTATGACACCTATCATTTGCTTTAAATACAACCAATATGTGGAAAACTTTCCTATCAAGAGAGAAAATGTTCTACTTGAAAAATTTAACCCAGAGACAGAGAACAGTATAAAAAAACTCAATACATATCATCCAGGATTAATACATATTTACACTATTATCTTTTGCTTCAAACATACATACATACTCATAGAGGTGAATATACCTATATATAGCTGTATCTCTACATCTCTGTATGTGCATATTGTATAGGAAGTCCCTTTTGAGCCCCTCTATCATGATTCCACGGATGGATATGAGAGTTGGACTATAAAGAAAGCTGAGCGCCAAAGAATTGATGCTTTTGAACTGTGGTGTTGGAGAAGACTCTTGAGAGTCCCTTGGACTGCAAGGAGATCCAACCAGTCCATCCTAAAGGAGATCAGTCCTGGGTGTTCATTGGAAGGACTGATGCTGAAGCTGAAACTCCAATACTTTGGCCACCTGATGCAAAGAGTTGACTCACTTGAAAAGACCCTGATGCTGGGAAAGGTTGAGGGCAGGAGGAGAAGGGGACGACAGAGGATGAGATGGTTGGATGGCATCACTGACTCGTTGGACATGGGTTTGGGTGGATTCTGGGAGTTGGTGACGGACAGGGAGGCCTGGCGTGCTGCGGTTCATGGGGTCACAAGGAGTCGGACACGACCAAGCGACTGAACTGAATTGATCATGATTTTAACATATCCTTTCACAATTTTAACTTTTCAACATATATATAGGAACAACATATAGCTTTGCCTTATGTGTTGCTAGAAATTATATAAATGATTTATAAGCTTATTACATTCTTAAACTTTTTTACTCAACAATATATTTCTGATATCTGTGTTTCTATATAAGGAACCTACTTTACTACTTTCACCTGCCATGTAATATACAGTCCATTCTATGAATGTTTGTGCATGTGTACTCAGGCCCTTCTGTCGTATTTGACTCTTTGCGATGCTATGGACAGTAGCCCACCAAGCTTCTCCGTCCATGGGGTTCTTCAGGCAAGAATACTGGAGTGGGTTGCTGTGTCCTCCTCCAGGGGATCTTCCTGACTCTGGGATCAAACCCCCATCTCGTGTGGCTCCAAAATAGCAGGCGGATTCTTTACCACTGTGCCACCAGGGAAGCCCTATCTATGAATGTATCCGTTTATTTATCCATAACTTTCTTGACAAATGCTGACTTTTCCCCCAACTGTGTGCTTTTATCAATAATGGTGCAAAGATTATACTGTATGTATCATCTTGTATACATATAATAGAGTTTCTTAGTATACATATGGTATATATTTAAAAGCAGAGTTCGCTCAGTCATTAGTGTAGGTTTTCTATTTGTACAAGATACTGTCAAATTGTTCTTTGAAGAGATTGTAGAACTGCAATACCACCAAATACAGACAATATGGAGTTCCCATTTCTCACTTGGTATTATCAGACTTTTTTATTTTTTCAGTTGAATAACATGAAATAGTGTCTCATAATTTGAAATTGCTTTTTATGATTACTATCATCTTTCCATGAGTTTACTGGCTATTCATGCTTTGATTCTTTTGAAATGTCTTTTTATATCCTTTATTCATTTTTCTTTTGGGTTATTTTCTTTCAAATTGATTTAAAAGCCTGCTTTATGTATTCATGATATCTTTGTTTTATATTTGGTGGACATAGTCTTCTAGTTTGTTGCCTTTATGTCTTTATGTCTGATGTCTTTCACTGTATAAATTAACAATTCCAATGTAGCCAAATTTATCAATCATTTCCTATGTAAGCTCTCTACACTTTTTATAATTTAACAGAATATATGAAATAGAATGCATGCTAAGTTCCTTCAGTCATGTCTGACTCTTTTATGACCCCATGGACTGTAGCCCACCAGGCTCCTCTGTCCATGAGATTCTCCAGGCAAGAACTGGAGTGAGTTGCCATTTCCTCCTCCAGGGGATCTTCCGGGTGCAGGGATCAAGCCCATGCCGCTTATGTCTCCTGCACTGGCAGGCAGGTTCTTTACCACTAGTGCCAAAATAGAATAACCAATAACAAATACAGAAAAGTTATCTTAAAAGTCTTAAGTTTATAATAGCTATACTGGAAAACAACTTTCCATGGGTTTATTTTGAAATGAATAATTTCCTGGAGCTGTACCATCTCTATATTGCAGCTTGCTGATATTCAAGTCCATTTGTATCAGGCATGCCTTTCCTTTTTAAGAAACCGACAATGTGTATAGGTAAAAAAAATAAATCAGATACAAGGATATAAAGTACAGCACAGAAAATTTGGCCAATATTTTTATAATAATTTTAAATGGAATACAATAAATGAAAACATTGAATCACTGCGTTGTACACCTAAAACTAATATAGTTTTTTAAAAATCAATTATGGGCTTCCCTTAGTGGCTCAGTGGTCAAGAATATGCCTGCAATGCAGGAGTTACAGGAGACATGGTTTCGATCCCTGGATTGAAAAGATGCCCTGGAGAAGGGCATGGCAACCCAGTCCAGTATTCTTGTCTAAAGAATCCCATGGACACAGGAACATGGAGGGCTACAGTCCATAGGGTCACAAACAGTAGGACACAACTGAAGCAACTCAGCACGCACGCACACAAATCAATTATATGTTAATAAAAATATTTTTATTAAAAAATAATTCATGTTCTACAAAGTTCACCCAAGAAAATATTTTTAAATAGAAAGAACAAATAGACAAAGTATAAAAAGAGACATAGAGACTCCATCTATGTAATGAACAAATCCACTGCCTGAGTTTATAATCACTGATGGGAATGACTCAACTCCAAAGCAAAATAAAAAATAAAGAAATGAGAGTAACCCAAAATGTTTCAATAATCATTAAATATTATTTATCAAGCATGCACATACAGTGTAAAATGATTTATTTGCTAATCCAAATGAAGTAAAAGTCTAGAATTAAATATCATTTATCATGTGTATGTAATAATTATAAAGCTATTAAGATGTAAGTAAATTTCTCATGTTTCTCCAAAGGCTCACTAACTTCAGAAAACATGTCTATTTTCCTAAAGGTGAAAAATGTGGTCTTTTTCTATATACAAATCAGTTTTCAAGTATTTCAAAATTCAACCACATAACACATAGAAACTCATGTCAATTATAGTGCTTACCAACATACAAACATTATAGACTATATTGTAAATCGAACTATTTAGGACTATATCATTAAAGGTTACTTAACCAAGAGAAGGTATACAATAATTGTGATTTCTGTTTTGTAATCATTTTTGTTTTTACTAATTCCAACAGTAGAATTCTTTAAATAGAAAACCACAGACTTCTAGAATGAATCAAAAGAGTCCTATCTCAGCCGGAATTCTGTAATAAAACTTATTATTTTATCAACAACCAAACTATGGTAAAAACATCATATTCCACATTAATTGACCAAGAATCTTCACGAATATCTAACATGCTATATCCTGCTTTCAGAACTGCCTAGACACCACAGTTGAGGGTTAGCATCTAGCCTGAGAAGTGATCCCTACCCACCAATTAGGTCATGTTCAGGATAAAATGAAGGAAAATATCCATGAAAAATGGTTATATCCCTTTGAGTTATGTTCCGACTGCAGAGTAAAAGAAAATGACTTTTTGGCTTTAGTTTTACAAATATGGCAGCAATCAAGCCTGCAGTATAAATGGTTAGAGTTAAGATTCTCATGAATAATATGAACGAGACTAGTAATACTCTGGAATAAATAAAACATTGCTTGATAATGGCCCAGCATGACTTCCCTTTAATTCTATGGAGATTATAATAGTGGGTGTCCCAACCACTAGGTAGAGCAAAATATTATTTTACTCTGGTCTCCTACATTTGAAAAATAATCAAAACTGAAAAAGTTTCTTAAAAACTTGCTGGTTTCCATTATAAATTACCCTAAAGTTCAAAACCAAAGCCCATCTAACCATTAAAAAAGAAAATAGAATTAATCAGTTTTTATGAAAGTCTATCAAGTTGGCAGTGAGTACCAGTGACCAAATTTCAACTTTCTTCTCTGATTTCCCAAACTTAAATTCTCAAAGCCATAAAGTAAATAAATAACTTCAAATCGGCAAAAGGGGACAAAACACATTCTGAGAAAAAAATTTTGGATGAAAATACAAATACAACCTCTCTTTTACTCTCATGCGATAAGCAAGGTATAACCTTCTGCCTTATTCTGTGATGGGACATTCTACTCTTTGGTATCTTTCCCTTTCCCAATACTGCATCCTCTGCCAGCAGGGTAAAACAAAAATCAAGCTGATTCCAGTGATAAGAAATGAAATCTGAAATGACTTATCACTAAATCAGTATTCTGTATCTTCATCATGAGTATTCCACAAGTCTTTTAGAATAGAAGAAAAGCACTTACTGGCTGCCAATACTAGCACATTATTTTCTAAAGTGCTCCAGAATGCCTGATGATAGGAGATTTCCCACTTTGAGAAGGCATTACATACCTCAGCAGCATGACAAGGTCTGCATCACTTGAAAGACGCACCAACCCTGGAGTCCCTTCAGTTCGGATAAATTGGATCTTCTCCCTATTCAAGCAAATAAAGAACTCAAACATGTGTAGTAAATGGCGACATAATTCAGTACTTAAGGCACCATTTTTTTTAAAAAGAATGGTCAGCACATTTTTTGGTACCTATTATGTGGCAGCTACTGTGCCCTAGGAATACACATCCAAGTAAATCATGCTCCTTGCCGTCAACGAGGACCCTCATGAGCATCAACATCACCCACTGCTAACAATGATAAAAAAATATTTCATTGCTCTCATCTCTTGCTACTCAAATACTACTATAGGTAGTAACACCATCCACCCAATAAAATTCAGTCTCTGCTTTGAGTTAAAGCCTTGCTGTGGGCTTGACTATAAGTAACAGTCTGGACCATTCAGATTGATTCCTTGTTATTCCAAATAGGACATTCATTTATTTTCCTGAGGATATACTTCTACATTATGCATGATGAGCACATTTCTACTTGGAAGTAGGTACTATCTGTAAATTATATATTCGCTATAAAAGCATGTGGCTCTTTCAAATAACTGAAACCTAAAACATCTTCAGGTACTAAAGCTGGTGACTATATGTACACTTGTGCAAATATGTATATACTTATATGTACACATACCAAACACAATTTTGGACCATTATTTATTATAGATATATGTGATAACACCAGCGTTCACTTGTTTGAAGAGTCACTGTTTTGTTCATCTCAATTCTTTATATGAATATAAATTCAATAAAATATTTTTGGTTGTTTCCGCTCATTTACATTACGCCATTTCAAAGCACACCATATCAATTTTGATAACAAGACAAAAAATAAGAACATAAACTAGAGTACTGAAAGCATTGCTTTTGATAGGAACATACAAGCAACAGAAATACACAATTTTACTCTAAGTGCTAAATGACAATATATTCTGATTTCTGTATACTATGAAATAAAGTATCACTATCTGATGTAAGTATTTGTTTATATTTAGTTATTTTCTACAGACTATCTTGTTTTCCTATTTGGTAGTTTCAAAAAGTAATAAATAATTTTTATAATCTGAAATTTCAAATTCTAATTTACCTGTAGGCTTGAAAGTAATGAGATGAAAGATAAGGTTCAACTGTTGAGATGAAAAAATTCCTAATGTGTGCTCTTAACCACCTAGCTTACTGGGAATGATAAACTGAGTTTCAGTCAGTTGAGTTGAGTTCAGTCACTCAGTCGTGTCCGACTCTTTACGACCCCATGAATCGCAGCATGCCAGGCCTCCCCGTCCATCACCAACTCCCGGAGTTTACTCAAACTCATGTCCATCAAGTTGGTGATGCCATCCAGCCATCTCATCCTCTGTCGTCCCCTTCTCCTCCTGCCCTCAATCTTTCCCAGCATCAGGGTCTTTTCAAATGAGTCAGCTCTTCTCATCAGGGGGCCAAAGTATTGGAGTTTCAGCTTCAGCATCAGTCCTTCCAATGAACACCCAGGACTGATCTCCTTCAGGATGGACTGGTTGGATCTCCTTGCAGTCCAGGGACTCTCAAGAGTCTTCTCCAACACCACAGTTCAAAAGCATCAATTATTCGGTGCTCAGATTTCTTCACAGTCCAACTCTCACATCCATACATGACCACTGGAAAAACCATAGCCTTGACTAGACGGACCTTTGTTGGCGAAGTAATGTCTCTGCTTTTTAATATGCTGTCTAGGTTGGTTATAACTTTCCATCCAAGGAGTAAGCGTCTTTTAATTTCATGGCTGCAATCACCATCTGCAGTGATTTTGAAGCCCAAAAAATAAAGTCTGACACTGTTTCCACTGTTTCCCCATCTATTTCCCATGAAGTGATGGGACCAGATGCCAGGATCTTAGTTTTCTGAATGTTGAGCTTTAAAGCCAACTTTTCCACTCTCCTCTTTCACTTTCATCAAGACGCTCTTTAGTTCCTCTTCACTCTCTGCCATAAGGGTGGTCTCATCTGCATATCTGAGGTTACTGATATTTCTCCCAGCAATTGATTCTAGCTTGTGCTTCATCCAGCCCAGCGTTTCTCATGATGTACTCTGCATATAAGTCAAATAAGCAGGGTGACAATATACAGCCTTGATGTACTCCTTTTCCTACTGGGAAACAGTCTGTTGTTCCATGTCCAGTTCTAACTGTTGCTTCCTGACGTGCATGCAGGTTTCTCAAGAGGCAGGTCAGGTGGTCTGGTATGCCCATCTCTTTCAGAATTTTCCACAGTTTACTGTGATCTGCACAGTCAAAGGCTTTGGCATAGTCAATAAAGCAGAAATAGATGTTTTTCTGGAACTCACTTGTTTTTTCGATGATCCAGCAGATGTTGGCAATTTGATCTCTGGTTCCTCTGCCTTTTCTAAAACCAGCTTGAACATCTGAAAGCTCACGGTTCACATATTGCTGAAGCCTGGCTTGGGAGAATTTTGAGCATTCCTTTGTGAGCATGTGAGATGAGTGCAATTGTGCAGTAGTTTGAGCACTCTTTGGGATTGCCTTTCTTTGGGACTGGAATGAAAACTGACCTTTTCTAGTCCTGTGGCCACTGCTGAGTTTTCCAAATTTGCTGGCATATTGAGTGCAGCATTTTCACAGCACCATCTTTCAGGATTTGAAATAGCTCAACCGGAATTCTATCACCTCCACTAGCTTTGTTCGTAGTAATGCTTTCTAAGGCCCACTTGACTTCACATTCCAGATGTCTGGCTCTAGGTGAGTGATCACACCATCATGATTATCTGGGTCGTGAAGATCTTTTTTGTACAGTTCTTCTGTGTATTCTTGCCACCTCTTCTTAATATCTTCTGCTTCTGTTAGGTCCATACCATTTCTGTCCTTTATTGAGCACATTTTTGCATGAAATGTTCCCTTGGTATCTCTAATTTTCTTGAAGAGATCTCTAGTCTTTCCCATTCGGTTGTTTTCCTCTATTTCTTTGCATTGATCGCTGAGGAAGGCTTTCTTATCTCTCCTGGCTATTTTTTGGAACTCTGCATTCAAATGGGAATATCTTTCCTTTTCTCCTTTGCTTTTTGCTTCTCTTCGTTTCACACCTATTTGTAAGGCCTCCTCAGACAACCATTTTGCCTTTTTGCATCTCTTTTCCATGGGGATGGTCTTGATCCCTGTCTCCTGTACAATGTCATGAACCTCCGTCCATAGTTCAACAGGCTCTCTGTCTATCAAATCTAGTCCCTTAAATCTATTTCTCACTTCCACTGTATATTCATAAGGGATTTGATTTAGGTCATACCTGAATGGTCTAGTGGTTATCCCTACTTTCTTCAGTTAAAGTCTGAATTTGGCAATAAGGAGTTCATGATCTGAGCCACAGTCAGCTCCAGGTCTTGTTTTTGCTGACTATATAAAGCTTCTCCATCTTTGGCTGCAAAGAATATAATCAATCTGATTTTGGTGTTGACCATCTGGTGATGTCCATGTGTAGAGTCTTCTCTTGTGTTGTTGGAAGAGGGTGTTTGCTATGACCAGTGCGTTCTCTTGGCAAAACTCTATTAGCCTTTGCCCTGCTTCATTCCGTACTCCAAGGCCAAATTTGCCTTACTCCAGGTATTTCTTGACTTCTTACTTTTGCATTCCAGTCCCCTATAATGAAAGGGACGTCTTTTTTGGGTGTTAGTTCTAAAAGGTCTTGTACGTCTTCATAGAACCGGTTAACTTTAGCTTCTTCAGCATTACTGGTTGGGGCATAGGCTTGGATTACCGTGATACTGAATGGTTTGCCTTGGAAATAAACAGAGATCATTCTGTCATTTTTGAGATTGCATCCAAGTACTGCATTTCGGACTCCTTTGTTGACCATGATGGCTACTCCATTTCTTCTAAGGGATTTCTGCCCACAGTAGTAGATATAATGGTCATCTGAGTTAAATTCACCCATTCCAGTCCATTTTAGTTCGCTGATTCCTAGAATGTAGACATTCACTCTTGTCATCTCCTGTTTGACCACTTCCAATTTGCCTTGGTTCATGGACCTAACATTCCAGGTTCCTATGCAATATTGCTCCTTACAGCATCGGACCTTGCTTCTATCACCAGTCACATCCACAACTGGGTACTGTTTCTGCTTTGGCTCCATCCCTTCATTCTTTCTGGAGTTATTTCTCCACTGATCTCCAGCAGCATATTTGGCACCTACCGACCTGGGGAGTTCCTCTTTCAGTACCCTCTCATTTTGCCTTTTCAGACTGTTCATGGGGTTCTCAAGGCAAGAGTACTGAAGTGGTTTGATATTCCCTTCTCTAGTGGATCACATCTGTCAGACCGCTCCACCATGTCCCGACCGTCTTGGGTGGCCCCACACGGCATGGCTTAGTTTCATTGAGTTAGACAAGACTGTGGTCCATGTGATCAGATTGGCTAGGTAAGGAGCAGCGGCTGCACTTTGCTGGAGCAGCCGTGAAGAGATACCCCACGTCCAAGCTAAGAAAAACCCAAGTAAGACGGTAGGTGTTGTGAGAGGGCATCAGAGGGCAGGCACACTGACACCATAATCACAGAAAACTGAGTTTAGTCCTAGGCTTCTTCTGCTTAGATCCATTTTACATAATGTGTTAGTACATGAAGCACCTAATCTTTGATATTTTCAACTTTTCTGCCTTTTATTGCCAGTATAAATATTATATGTTTTACATAATTTTACATAATATTACATTACAGCCATATTATATATACTATATAGCAGCTGGAAACACAGATATAGATGAATGGTAGGCATATATATAAAGGAACTACCAGAAAAGAAAAGCCAGCCTCTCCTCTCTGCTTATGGTTATTTCAGTCTGAAGTCTCAAACCAAGCAGAACATTGTCCCTCAAGTGTTATAACCTTATGTCTGAAGCACATGATGGAAACCAAGGCCCATTATCAGGTAAGTGGTTTTTTGATAAGAGATATAAAAGTTGGTTTAAAGAAAGCTAAATCAGAAAAAAATTATCTTGGGAAAAAATGAACTTGACCAAAGAAAGTACTGTTACAAGGGTGACTAACAGTATGTTGT